CGTGGCATAGTCAACTCTCGCGTAAGTAGGAAGCGTAATCCTTGTACTCCCATCTCTGGTATGTGCGATGCGCGCAGGCCATCCCTGTGTGGGAAAATATGGTGCGTTGTGCGGGAAGAGGTCGTATGTACTACACGAAGAGTGACTGTTTAGCTCTGTCAGCTACTTGGGTCCGACCTAAGCAACAGTTGGTAAATTGGAGTCAGAAAATCGACTGATGCATGAGAGAGAGGAGAAAGGATACATCTAATTTTGGGGCTTCCTTTCACTTGCTGCTTTAACGCATTCTGCAATAAAATAAAAATAAGTACCTTTAATTCACCATGACAGCTTAAGCCTCGTTGGTTGGAACGTTGTTAATGAACGAGACAGGGCACATCTCTCAGTCAGCTCAGTGTTTGCACTTGGAGTGACTGGCTGCTTGACTAACATACACGCCCATGACTCCATCTATGACAGTCTCATGCATGTGATGTCCGGTAGGTCACATTTTTTGGAAAGAAATTGTGTGTAGTTATCAAACAAGGTAACGGGTACCTCGCATTGACGGGTTGTATAACTCTGTATAACCCAATCTTCTTGAACCTGTCATGACAATGGGTCAGGTGACTGAGGAAGGAGAGCTTGTAGTAGATGCTGTGCAAGATTTCTAGCACTACAAGTGAATTTACATGCAGGCAACCATCCCCACGCCCTTCTTGCTGTCGAGAACACGTCGTCATCGTCATTTGCGACGACCGAATTGCCATAATGCAGAGGATAGCGCTTAAGTCTTCAGTAGCCTTCGTTAATGGGGAATGAAAAAGGGCAATAGAGGAAAAGGGGTTTCGCCTGTAATCCACCAATTATAATTCATTAGTCTTGATAGACAGTATTGGAATGTTCACTGAACTGTTTCATTCATTGGCAAATGAGATAAGCGATCTGTTTAGGCCGGAACCAAGGTCTGTCATCTATGTTAGCCGTGGAGGACTTGAGCCTGCACGTAAACCATGTTCGAAAGTGGCCAATAGTTGAAGACTAATATATTGATGAGCACCACTTTTAAGTAGGAAAAAACAGAGTCACACGTGGCGGTAGCAGTTAATTGACAATCAGTTTAGATTTTTATCGCGATCCCGGTGACTATGTTTGGCTGGTTTCAGAGACACGGCTAATGTAACGTATGCAGATATTATACATGAGGTTTTTAACAGGTTAAGCATAGCAGATTTTGGAGAATTTGCGAATAGAGCTGATCAATGGTACTAATCACACATTTTAGTAACGGAAACATTTGCATTTGCTTCATTACAGCATATTTTGATTGTTCCGCTGTTTATTTGTTTATTCTTTCGTGTGCTGGTTGTAAATATATACACTTGGTTTTTGATGGGCAGTTGATTAACTCCATCCTTTGGCATGGCACACCCTATAATTGATGTTGACCTTGCTTCAGACACTCCTACGGATTTAATACTGGAAAAGCACATTCAGTTTCTTGCTTCTTTTGATAAAAAAGCCGATCCGATGCTGGATTACTTAAAGTTATCTGCTATGTACTGGTGCTTAACTGCACTAGATTTGATGGACAAATTGGATGTAATCGACAAAGAGACGGTGGTCCAATTTGTGCAGTCGTGCCAGAATCCTGACGGAGGGTTGGCTCCTGCCCCCGGGCATGATTCACACATTCTGCCTACTTTGAGTGGCATCCAAATTCTCGTCCTCTACGACGAGCTTGACAAAATCGATCGGAAAAAAGTTGCAGAATATGTAGCAAAACTACAGGTGGGACTGACGTTGATTCCAAGGTTATAATCTTCGAATGAGCTATGGATTATTTTTTCCCATTCAATATATCAGTTTTAGCACGGTATACTGTGCTAGCCCTGATGGCAAAACGCCAGCGTTGCTCTATTCCGATGATATCCGTCGCGCTCTTCTGTCCCTGCATTGCTAGCTAGCTAGCTAGCACATGGTTCCGTCCTAAGAGAGGACCACATGGGTGTGGACGTGGCCATGCCCCACCCCCTGATAACAGCGTCCTACCTCTCGTCTAGCCCTACCCTGTCAGCTCTGATTTGCAAGCTTGTATATGGTTTCTTATGTGATTGATCTACTTAGTACAACCTACGCGAGTAACTGCTAGGTGAATGGTGTCTGGAGGGACTACCCACAATCAAAAATCAGTCGCATACTAACCATATAGGTTAGCCTTGGGTGAGTGTACTGCTACCAGGCGCCATGTCCACCCCGTTTGGTCCTGTCCTTAGGGCGGAGCCGTGTGCTATCATGGTAGCACTTACTGTTTTTGCAAGTGTTTTCACTCCTTTGCAGCGTCCTAAGTTTTTTTTCTGTTCTTGTCTCAAATTATAATTCTCATTACCAGCCAACAGACTTTCATATTTACGTCGAAACCGATTAGGACGTTGCATTGGTGTTTTTCTAAGATTTTTTATGCCTGCTTTCCACCGAACTGATAGACTGCAAAGAAACCCCGTCTTCGCAATAATGAGGTATCTTACATCTCTAGGCGACTACCACTCCGACCAGATGTCAAAGGCTCTTGGCTACCTGGCGCGTCCACAGGTGGCGGATAGTGAAACGGCCTTCAGCGAAGGTTAGCTGCGAAATAAGCATGCTCTTGGGCCTGGCGAATAAGCATTTGCAGACCACCAGCGACAGTGTTACCAGGGCATGGGGGACTGAGGTCTGGTGCACCGACTGCCTTATAAAATGCCGCAAGTATCAATGACGGCACTATGACATGGCAAGCGTGAACCGCCATTAAATAGGTTTGCTTGCCACTGCACCCTT